GAGAGGCTGCTGAGATTGGGAACCTTAAAGACTTTTCTGTGTATATTCCTGAGCACTGCCTGTACCCAGCCTTAGCTAGCTACTTATGCTCAAATATAGTTATAGTCAGGTTCTGTTCAAAGAAGAAAACCTGGAAGAAAAAAATAAAGGTGGACGTTTAAAGCTCTGCAGGCCTTGTTTCCAAGGCCCACGCCAGCCAGCACACGCTCTAGTATGGAAACAGTCTAGTTTTATAAACTAATATTGGCTTAGGCTGGTTTAAGACCTGACTTTTCTCCTCCTCTGTGGAGATGGCTTTTGTCATGTCTGGCCTCAGGTCACAGTCTTGTCTCTTGATGCCTCGAGATAAAATCAGCATGAGACAAAAAGAAGAAGGATTCTGCTACATACAAGAAGAGATACCATCCTAGTAACTACTGTGTTACTGGAACATGCTCAGTGCTAGGGGACAGCCAGGGTGCGGGAAAAACTTCAGTACTAAAGTGTGGCGGCAGCTTGGCTTTACAGGGACAAATCTTTTTCCCCCTTGTCCCCCTGGGCTGTTCAAGTCGGGGGTTCTGTTTCTCTGATGTAAAGGCAGCAGCATATCCTACTATGAAACCAGCAGTACGTTGTAATTATTACAGAATTGATAGTGATATGGCCTTGATTACATTCTGTAGATCATGTGTATGGATGCAGGTGTGTTTCTTAGCTAGTAAAAACCTTATTTTTCACGTGGGAATGACTGCAATAGGCATTAAACAAGACTGGGTGGAAAGAGTAAAATATTCATATATTTAGGTCAAGAAGCAATATGCTGGCTTCTCCCCACCTACCCATTCATTTTGTTTTCTACGAAATGCCCCATTTTCTGTGGCCATTTCCAGATGTTGACATACAAAGATGGAAGCAGCATAGACCTAATGACCGTAATGCCTGATCTTCTCGTATGTTAATGAGAGGGCAGGGCACTCATTGTGAAGATTTCTGTAGAATTTTGAAAGTTAAACCAGAGTAAGCGCATGCCGGCCTCATTAACATCGTCACAGTGGAAAATGGCCCACTCCTCGCACCTGAATGTTGTCCCGTGGCTCAAGCCAGTTTTGGGACGCACTTGGAGTTGCATTAAAAACTGTGGCCACTTCCTGGAACTGTCTTCAGTGTTGGACAATCTTTGTTCTCCTAAGACTCAATCTGATTTGGGGAAATAGCTATATATATTTATTTATATATATGTGTATATGCATATATTTATTTATCCCTTGAACTTACTGGTCCGATGGAGAATGGCGGAGCTACGTAGACTGTAGCCCATGGGCACCCTTCAAACCTGGAACCCCTCCCAGGGGTCACCTTTCAGCCAATCAATAGACAGGTCTCTAAAGTGAA